TAGGACTAGGGAAACGTTATTAGTGTATCAGCATGTGCTGCAGTAGCAAAGACCCAAGCCCGTAATGGCATCAAAACTGCGACCAAGGCGACTCTAATATTGTTGTTGTTGCTAGGTGCAGTTGAATTGGTTGCAACTCATAGCAACCTTGTGTACAGTAGAACGAAATACTGTCCGGTGTCCTGCAACACCCTCACAAATGTTACATTTGAACCCATTGTTGTAGCTACAGAAGGTCCCAATGTAATACTTTGAATTTTTGACTGCTGCTTCCATGAACATTGACGGTGGATCAAAGCAAAATTAAATCGCTGACAACTTCAAGCTTTTCTCTGTTTATCACGATATTGTCTGTTGGTCCAGTTGTGGGGTTTTTAGTGTTCATTACATTGAATTGTAATCCATATTGAAGGCTGTAGTCATCAATCTACATCAGCAAGAGCTTCAGGTCTTCCTTGATTTCAGCAAGCACGGTTGTGTCATCTGCACAGTAAAGGTTGTTATGAGCCTTCCTCAAATACTGCTACTTTCTTCTCAGTCCAGTGTAGCTTCTTGGATTATTTATTCAGCATAGATTGAGTAAGCGTGGCGACAACATATATCTGTAATGCACACTTTCCTGATTTTAAATCATGCTGTATTTCCTTTTCTGTTAAAACACTGCCTCTTGTTCCATGTACAGATTCCATGTAAGAACACAATTAAGTATTCTAGAATTCCCAATTCTTCTCAATGTTACTCATAGTTTATTATGACTCACACAATTGAATGCCTTTGTATAGTCAATAGAACACAAGTAAACATCTTTCTAGCATTCTCTCTTTTCAGCCAAGATACAACTGATGTCAGCAACGTACTACATTCTTGTACTACATCCTCTTCTGAATCTGGCTTACATTTCTGGCCATTGCTGATGTATTACTTCAACTGTTGCTGAATTATCTTCAACAAAATTTCACTTGCATGTGATATTAATGATGTTGTTTGATAATTTCTGCATTTTTTTTAGTGCTACCTTTCTTTGGAATGGGCACAAATAAGGATCTCTTCCAGTCGGTTGGCAGTAGCTGTTGCCCAAAGTCCTTAGATAAGTGACTTCCGACTCATGGCGACCCATTATGGGTTTCCAAGATTCTAAGATTTTAGGGGAGCAGACAGCTCCACCTTTCTCTGGCACAAGAGCATAAAATTTTCTATCTGGGTCAGCTTTTTTTGAAAAGGTGAACAGGTTGGCGTTATGGCTCTTTTTAGGGACCCAGCCTGAGGGAGTTTCCATCCTCATGAACATTTAGCTACTGAGTTCACTCTGTTCCCTCCACTTCAGTCAACACGCATTGGGAGACTTTATGCTTTCAAGTAGCAAACATCATTTCGGCTTGTAGCTCACCGTGACTATTTAGTCACGTGGTCCCTCTAACTCAGCAAGGGCAGCTGGGAAGCACACAAAGCTGTTCAAGCTTTGTGTCCAGGAAGAAGAAAAAGCGAATTTTGTTAAGCAGTTAGCAGCAGCCTGCCACCATTTGTGTGAAATCATTTGAGAAGTTAAATTTTAATAAAAGCACTTTGACTTTGTGTGTCTGTAAGCAGAATCTTTAGAACTATTTCAATGAAAAGCAAGCCAATACCATTTATACGAACTTCTAGTCATGCAATAGTAGTAAACATAAAACTAGAAAAGAGTGGAGTTCCGGTAACATTGATCAGAGCCTTTGTAAGTGAATCCTCCCTGCTCGCCTCCCCCCCTCCCACCTTGCTGGCTGAAAAGCAATCTAAGCTAATTGACCTGAAATGATGGGGTCAAGAGAAGAGAGGACAATATCCCAGTATTAATAATGTTTTCCATAAACCAATCCTTTGCAGCCTTCCTCTTTGATGCCTGGAATATGGACCTCTTTGATGTCTGTGGCTTTCGCATTTCTTTAACCATCAGCATTTTTTCTTCTAAATTGTCCTTAAAGTGACTGATGAACCTTTTCACCTTTCCTTGGCCTGTGATCATTTGCCTACTTCCAATAAACTTTTTACTACAAACCTCATTCTTTTCAGCTTAGTTTGACACGAGAGCCTGAACATGTGCAGAAAGAGCAGAGAAACCCATTAGCAATAATCAATCACCAGTCTAGATTTTACATCACTTAGTTTCTAGTCTGCATTTATCCATGCAAAGTAACATGTAGATCCTTCCTAGTTTTCTAATCCCTTAGGACTCAATTCTTTCTAATTTAACATCAAATATCCCTACTGGTGATCCTCAGTCTTCAGGTGATTGCCTGCCCTGCCTCATTTAAGTACTTCATTGCCATCAACAATATAGCCTTTCTTCTGGCCCAGGGTTTGGAAAGGGAAGTAGGCTGTAATCTTTACTGGAGTACATTACTCTTTTCTTATGCAGAGCACTGGTGGGTAAGAACCTCCAACCTTTCAGTGGGTAGCCAAGCACTTAACCACCAGCCATCTTTAGGAAACCTTTCACACTGGAGCCAGATGCCCACTCCAAGTGAGCCTGTAGTACAGAGTACAGCTGCTCTAGGGCTCCTGAGACCAAATATTTATGAAGGCAGACCACTTTATCTTTTTCCCATAGAGTGGCTAGTGGGTTTGAATCACTGACCTCCTGGTTTGTAGCTCAACTTTCAGCACACTCCACCATCAGACTTCCTTCTATCAAGAAAAACCTAAAACCACACCTGCTGCCATCTAGTTGATTCTGACCCTATTGGACAGAGTAGGACTGATCCTTAGGGATCGCCAAGACCAGACCTTTACTGTAGAAAGCGGGCTCACCTTTCTCCTGTTTATCAAGTGAGAGGAAATCTCCTTTCAAAGTACCATATATACTCGTGTATAGGCCGAATTTTCCAGCACATTTTTAATGGAGTTTCTGTGGTAAAATTAGGTGTCTCGGCTGGTATTCAGGTCAGCTTACACTCGAGTATATATAGTATGTTGGGAAAATGCTAGGTCTTCAGTTCGTTCTAGACACTTTTTTGGTATTTCATCTTCTGGACTGATATTCTGGGAAGCCCTCTCAGTTTTCCCAACAAAGGGCAAGAGGCTTCTAAAAACAACTGTTAAAAAGAAATAAAAACAACTAATACATTTATTGATAAAGTGATCAGCCATATTGTTCCAATGCTAAACACTGCTGCTCCATAGAAATGCTCCTCTGTATTTTAATTTGTTCGTGAACACTCTCTCTGATGGGGGTCTGAGCTTCCAAGTCTTCCCTTCCAGTCAGGCGACACTCTCACCTATCCGCACAGGAAGGGTTGTCTTTTAAGGATCCCTCTTCTGGGAAGGTACTATCCCTTGTCAGCGCTAGGGGCATGGCCTAGCTGGGGCACTGATTTGAGTCCTAACCATCAGAGAGTAACTGCAGAGCTTCTAGGGGACACAGATTTCACACCCTATGCTGACTCAATGTGTTTGTGATGAGGATTTTGAGAGTTCTGTTTTGAAACCACCTTAAAGACCATAGTCACAAATAACAACTCATGCGAATGGCATAGGAGAGGTAATTAGGGTCCTGATGTTTTAAAAAGAAGTCAATGCCATTTTTAAAAAAGTAAATTTCAACCACAGACTTCAAAAAGATGAAGATGAACTAAACTGTCGGCTCTGTCACCTAAGTGAGCAAGTGAAATCAAACAAAATACAACCAAACGAGTGGATTCAAGTGACTTTATTTTGTCTTTTCCAACTATTCAGTGCATAAACACGATCACATCATACATTCCACTTATTACTCTACCTGAAAGAAGAATTTCCTGAGGAAAGTGCTAAGTTGCAGGATGCCTGTTATCTGTCCTTGTTAACAATCCGTGGTTTATTACATGCCAGTTTAGCATAGGTCAAGGGCCTAACAAGTAGTTGGTAAACAGTGAGAATTTAGAACTTTAAGGTCTCCTAAAACTAGTGATTCAAACAATTCAAAGCAAACACACACACACACCCTAAAACCCCAAATGGTGAAAGTGCACCAAGGAGGGACTCCTTGGCAACCCAGATCTTAACCAATGACTCAGATGGACGGTTAGAATAAACGGCCTCACTTTCTTGAACTGTGTATATAGCAGGCATACGTATATTTCAAATTAAAGCACGAAATAAATTATCGTTGGCCTAGAAATCCAGAAGTTTTATTAGCACCTTCCTTTTGCACGTTTTAGTACTCTCTATATAAATTTGCCAGCAGTTCTTATTCCAAGGCCAAGGGCTGGCTTCATATATTCTCAGCAAGATGCTGGGTGCCTCTTGGTGACCACCCTGCCATGCCGACCTCTGAGGAGAGAGGATCGTGACGGCGCGGGAGTCATCCAAAGGTGGAAAGAAACACCCTGCTTTTCTTGACTTAATTGAGAGGCGGCGAGGGCTGTGGGAGGGAAGGGGGTGCGCTGGGATGGGAGCCGCGGCCACGGGAAGTGGGGGAGCAGGCACGCCACGCTCCTTCAGCTCAGGCCCGCGGGCCGGGAATGACCGCCCCCTCCCCACCCCCGCCCACTACGCCCAACACCCGTTCCCTCATTCCAGGCCTCCCTTGGCCCGCCTACGCGGGGTCCGAGAACCCCAACCTCCTTCCGCAACCCCTCCGGGCAGAGGCCCCGACCCCTCCGGCCGCGCCCCTCCCTTCGGATAACGCACCTGCGGCCCCGCCCCTGGCCAAGCGCGGAGAAGGCGGCGCACTGGCCAGGCCCGAGCACCCAGCCACCGTCCCTTCCCCCGCCATCCCACCCACCCCCCTCGCTCAGCCACCAAGCAGCCACCGCGCTCCACAGCCGACCTGAAACCTAAAGGGGTCCGTCTCCGGTGCCACAACCAAATGGCTGAGCCTCCCTGGCCGGCTGCGCAGCCCGCCCATTGGTCCCTTCCCTCCCCCCGCCGCCGCCACCACGGGCTGTTGCCCGGACACCCTCTGCGGCGATTGGCTCGTACGGCTGCCACTCCGCCTCTGGGTCGTAGATCCCGCCTCCACGACGATCAGGTTAGTGTGCGCTGCGGGCGCTGGGGGCTCGAGAACCGAGCGGAGCTGGTTGAGCCTTCAAAGTCCTAAAACGCGCGGCCGTGGGTTCGGGGTTTATTGATTGAATTCCGCCGGCGCGGGAGCCTCTGCAGAGAAAGCAAGCGAGAGATGGAAATGGACAAACGGATTCATTTAGAGCTGCGGAACAGGACGCCCTCTGATGTGAGCATTTGCCAAAAATATCTGTCGGTCCATTCTCCTACTTTGTGTGTCTCTGTCGGGGGGAGGCACTGTCTTTTTGATGGGGGGGCGCCCAGGAGGTGTGGGTCTGGGGGTCGGACTACAAATGAATTGCAAGGTTGGGGGGGGGGAGGTTGCAATGCCATCCAAGCATGTTCGGGCTGCCGCCGCCGCCGCTGCCCTTGGTGGGTGACTACCTGTGCGTGTGCTCCCGCGTGTGCGAATGTGGGTGCGAGTGTGCACCCATTGGGGACCAGCGGGCGCACGCGTTTGGGTCTGCGAGATTGAAGGGAAATCACCCTCTGAGCTCGTTGCTCCCGTGACTCCATGGGGGGGGATTAACTAGGAAGGGGGAGGGCAGGGGCTGCCTCCTGGATTTAACAACAAAAATAAGGGGGCTTTATGTTTTATAAATGTATTCCTTCCGCCACCCCCCCACCCCCCGCGCCTTTCCCCTCCCTTTCTCGCCCACACAATAAGTTTTGGGCTTCGCGAGTCCCGTTTAGTTTCTGATCAATGTGGCCCGACGCCCCCCGGGAGGGCGCGTGGGCCGGGGGCTGCAGTGGAGTTGGGAGAGGCTCGAGTTTAAAGTGCGTCTTCATTTCTTCGCAGTGATGAGGCGAGAGACGGGGGAGCCATATTTGTAACTTTGTAGTGTTCGTGAACGCGCCCTTTCTCTCCCTCCCTCCCTCCCTTTCTCTGCCTCCCTTCCTTTCCTCTTTCTCCCTCACTCTTTCCACCCCACCTCGGGCCCGATGCTGGGGTTCTTGCTTTCCTTTGGAGGATAAATAAGAAGGTCGGGGGTGGGGGGCATTTTCAAACGAGCAAAGGCAGCGATAATCCCCGTGCCTCCTCACCTCGAGCGATCGCTGTCGCAAGTTGCCCAAAGGCTACGTCCTGGTCCCCTCTTCGCCCCAGCTCCTTCCGGCCGCCCTTAAGATGCCAGCCTCAGAGCCTCGCGCCCCCCACCAACGCGAGCCCCCGGCCCGTCTTTCCCGGGGGGACCCTGGCAGCCATTCGCGCCTGGTTCACAACTGGGCACGGAAAACTTTGTCCGGACGTGAGCTGCCCGGAGCTGGTGCCAGGGGTGGGTATCGGCTGGGTGCACCTTTCTGCGGGCACCGACAGCACGCAGCCCCGGGACGGAGTTTGCCCTTCCCTGGGCCGTTATTGATTGGGTGGCGGCGGGAGTCCGGCCGGCGGAAACTTACTCCGACGGGAACGGGAAGAGCCCACCCCCAAGGACAGGGTGGGTTGCTTGCACGCTCGGTTGTATTTCGGTCTCCCTCTCGCTTTCACATACGACTGTTGGATGCGAGTTTGCGACTCAGAGGCGGGGACGCCCAGGCCTGGGGAGAAGACGCTGGCCGGCCCCCCTGGTGGCCCTGCGGGGAGCTGAGCGCGCGGGCGGGTGGGGTGAGCCCCCTGAATTCAGCCTCAGTGGCTGGGTTTGCGCAGAGTTGGGGATCTGGGTAACACGGTGCGCTGACCTGTCGCCCCTCCAACCCGTGAAAACTCGAATCCCTGGCAAAGGGCGGCCTCCTTCACCCATGTCCCTAGCTCGTCCCCCCCAAACCTGAGTGTGACTTTGGAAAACAGGAGCTTTTCTGCGCCCCCCACCCTCCTAACGCAGCTGTGGGCTGGAGACGTGCGGTGCCTTATGGCGCGCGGGGATGGGGGGGGGGCGCTGCTCCAGGCAGGAGTTTCCGCCAACAATTTGCCGACACTTTTCCTTTTTCTGGCCGTTATCGTCCAGCCTGGCCCCGGAGCCCGAGGATTT